TAATTGAAATCTCCTAAAAAGAGTATTACAAATCTAGATATATGTTATTGATATTTCTTCAGAGTGCTGAAGATCTTAAGAATTTAAAGAAAATGCAGAGATTATCTGAACGTGAGGGATGGTTTAACAACCTCAGTAAGACATTGTTCCAGTTATCAAGCCAAGACGACGATGATGACTCAGATGAGAGTACACAGGAGGCTATAGAGAAAAGGAAACAAGTTCTGGAGAAAGAATACAAAGAAGAAAGAGAAGCTAAAATACAGGAAGGTTAGAGAAAATAATTAAATAATTTCTTTATTTTATTTAGTACATAAAATATAGATCTGTTTTAATCTTTTTATTTACCTCAATTATTGTCTCATCTATTATGCAGTTCATTGGAACTAATGCACAGGTTTACTTTATATGGCTATCTCTTATTTCTAGGAAAAATAGAGCTAAAGAAGTATTATAGGGTTTAATTGATAGACCTGTAATCCTTAATGCATTTCTTTATTTAATATTTTCAGTCTCGTGTTTTTTTTATTTGCTTTACATGGAAAATTGATTCTTATTAGTTCAAAGAGTCCAATCAAATTGCTTTTCTTATTCAAATATCCAACCTGCCTTTAGATTTACTGAGCTCTTACCAAAACTATTTTACTTTGGTGTTGCAAATTATAAATTGAATGAAGTCAAGTTTTGAAAAGTTTAATTGCTTTATAGGCTAGATATATCTCTGTTTCAACAGCTTAATGTCAATTTATGAAGACAAATTAAATGAATAGCATACTATTTTTTACCGTTAAATCTTTGAAACGTTTTAATATCTAAAAGACCATATAATTTTAACTTCCTTCATACCTATCAATTAGTTTCGTAAGGCAAAAATCACATGATGAAATACAAGTACTTAAAATTTCATGGTCTTAACCTATCTCCTGTACAAATATTGGACATGATAGATGTCAATGAGTCTATATTTGACTTAATACCTTATCATGTTGTCAATTTTTTTTTAAATCTGATTTTAAATGATTCCAGTAATTCAAAAAGGTAAGTATTTAGCTGAAGGGTGTTTGAGGTAAAAATTATTCAAAGTTTTGTGTTTGTGTGTACATGTGTTTTAATTGTAAATTTTTGAAAATGGCAATGTTACACTTAATTCTGTAATTGTATTTATTCAAGAATGTTGGTGTAAGCGTCTTTAACAATCTTGTCCATTATTTCTGAAAGCTTTACTATGTTGTTTGTATTTAGCCTTTTAAATAATATCTGAAATTTTTATGCCTCCACTCTAAGAGTGTTGGCTATATTACAATCACCTGATCCGTCCTCCAGTTTCCTCATCAAATATTTTTGTCATACTTTTCTCAGATACCACTTAACAGAATGACTTCATATTAGGTCAGCAGCTAAACAGTGGTGATCTGTCAAATACCTACTTCCTGTTTGCTGATACTTTGAATTTTCAATATGTTGAATGAACTTAATATTTTTTCATCACTCATATCTCCAATGCTATTGAACAGATTGGCTTCATATTTAGTCAGCAGCTCAAGTGATGAGTTGGAACCTGTGTGCACTTTCCAGATCTGTAAGGCACCGACATCCTGTTTTCCAATACTTTGATTTACGAATGAGGCTATGCTAAGCACAAAAACATTTTTATTCTTGTTTGAAATTTATACAGGGACAAGAAAGAAGTATACTTTTAAGTCTAGTTAATTTTGGTTGCATCTGAAAAATACATTATACTTCATATTAAGCATTGCATGTGTCTTCCTTAACAAATATTGATATAAAATAGTTGAGTGTCTTGTTTTTTCATTGGGATACAAAATGACAGTGTTGTTTTTGCTTTATAATGTGTTTTGAAGTGTTGTAATTATGTTTGCACAGTTTTTTTTGTACATTGTACTTCCATCATCAGGAGAAATGTTTTGTTGAGATCATCTGGCACAATGGGCGAAGGACGTACTTTGCAATAATGTGTCATCTGTTGACCATTTACTAGATATATTTTCGTTTTACTCTAATCTTCCTAGACTATAAGGAAAATTTGCTTTTAAGGTCCTTTAAGAGTGTGATAACTGAGATACCTTCTTTTATTAGTGTATTTCATGAGGGGCTCAGGGAAGATTAGTGTTATAGCTAACTGTGTAACCCTCTTTAAATAAAGAATTATTATTATTATGATGATCAATTGGGTCTCATACCTGGCAGCAATTATGCAACGTACTAGGTACCCATTGAGACTTATGGGAAACCTCAGAAACTTCACTTTTCACATCTAAAGTCAAAGGTACAGTGTACATTTAAATTTTAGGATTGGCAGATTACAATTGAACTTTATAATTTTCTCATCCTGAACATGCATGAAATATTTGCGACTGGACATTAAGACCAACAATCAATCATTATAATCCCATAACGAAAATTTATGTTCTTGTCATCTCATGCTAATTTCGTGGATATGTTTTTTTATAACAGTATTAAAAATTAATGTCAAGAAGATGTCATAAAATGAAAAAAATTAGAATGTTCAAAATCACAAATTCAAGTAAAGATTGTTTGTTGGCATGATGGCTTTTACATATGTTTGACATTATGTATTTTGTTGAGTGTGACAAAAATAAATTATATATTTCCAGCTATGAGAGCCAAGATGGCAGGTGAAGAAATTGATATCCAGGCAGAACTTAAACAATTAGAAAAAGAACAACAAGCCAAAAGAAAAGTATGTACATATAACTGTTCATAAGTTCAAACCATGTATTATTAGTTACACAGTGTGCTAGTGACTTAATACGATATATATGGGGTCAGTAAATTCCATATGGGGTCACTAGCACACTGTGTAACAAATTCATCTTACCACCTATCTTTTAACGTGTGGCATTTAGACTAGTGGCCTATCAAAGTGATCAAGTCTTCAATATGAAGAACCTACTTCCATTCGTCTATACAAAAACAAATGCCAACAATAATAACTTTTTAGCTTTTAATGTGTTTTCTGTTGTCCAGGTGAAACATTTCAGATTTTTCCACAACACCATGTTGTTTTTATTAAGGGATGTAACACCACTACTAACTGTGTATTAAAATAAACCACGCCTACTTACCCCATATTAAATATACAGAGTCTCCACATGGTCGCTTTTAACCAATGATATTCCTAGAAATGTATAGGAGGTAAGATAATGCATGGTTCAGAAAACTAAAGTAAACTTTTATTTACAAATAATGGTAAAATTATGATTGAAAATCAAAATTGTGATATAGTGTGGCAAACAATAGTTGTCAGCTTAATGAGATTGATGTCCAGGCTTCTTATTTTATGTGTCTAGTTTGTTTGTATCACATATTTGTTCATTTTTGTTGAATTTCTTCTATAGATATTTTGCTCACTAAACTAGTTTGGCTGAAATTAATAAAAAAAACAACTTTATATTGACAATTCCATTCAGACTTTCTCTTGTTTATCATGCTCATCCTTGAAACTAAACGTTTGTGCACAAATTTATGTCCATTAGAAACATAAGCATTGCTAAAATTTACTTGTAAGTTCCATAGAGGTCTTAATTTTTGACCAATTTTAGCGAATTTTATTCAGAGGTTTTATGTTCACTAAATGTTACATAATGAAATAATTTCACTTATTATATTAAGTTCCTTGTTTTAATAGGCACTTGATGAAGAGCTAGCTAAACAAAGACAAGCATTGAAAGACAAGATAAATGCAAAGAAAAGAAAAGGACAAGAAAAGGAAGAAGAGGAAATTGAAGCTTACCATCTGTTGATGCTGCAGCAGAGTCAAGCTGAGAAATCAAAGGAAGCTGTTGATGGAGAGAAAAGTAGACAAAGCAGCAAAGTGTGTACAAATACTTTTATGTTATGATTTTGTTTTGATGTTTAATATTTCAGATTTTCTGCAGGTCCTACTTCATTTTTTTATCCAAATTATTTTTTAGTCTTCTTTGGCATGACATATTGGCACATTTAAACAGTATTTATTCTTATCCCCTTCTCCTCCTAAACCTCTAATCAGAAATTGAGATTGGAAGTTTCTTAAAATCATCACCTTATAATGCCAGTAAACTTCTCCTATTTTATTTTTTGATGTAAATTATTTTTGGAGTTTCCGTAAGCAAATCATGAACTTTGCTTTTGCTTTATTTGTGGGGGTACAAAACTTTTCCTAAACCCCTTACTTGAATTTACTTAAATGTTCTCCGACTCATAAACCATATCATGCCATTGTAAACCTCTTGTTTTGTTTTTTTATTCAAATTATATTCTGGCTTTCCCTATGCAAATAATAGACTTTTCCATTGCTGTACATATCATTCTATGAGCTTTGCTGGCAGTAATTATAGTTATGATTAAGATTACACTACAATAATTGTATAGGGAATTTGGATGATAAATGCATAAGCTGCATTGGTATTTGAGGTACCTTTTATTTTGATTCCCGGAAATAGTTTGTCAGTTCTAGATTAAGTGGCTGATAAAAATCTGCCATTTGACATCTAAATTGTAACTGATGTTATTATTATGATTAACATCAACAAAATCCTCAGCAGAATCAAAAAGGATTTTTATACGACCGCAAAAACAATTTGGGGTCGTATAATGCTATCACGTCGGCGTCGTTGTCGTTGTCCGAAGACATTTGGTTTCCGGACAATAACTTTAGTTTATGTGTATGGATCGCTATGAAATTTAACCAAAAGGTTCAATACCACAAAACGAAGGTTGGGATTGTTTTTGGGGTGATGGTCCCACCCGTTTAGGAATTAGGGGCCCAAAACAAGCATTTTTCTAGTTTCAGGACAATAACTTGTGTATTGTGATTGCTCTGAAATTGTACCACAAGGTTCAATACCACAAGTAGAAGGTTGGGATTCATTTTGGGGGTAGTTGCCCAAACCGTTCAGGAATTAGGGGCCAAAAATTTTTTAGGGGGTCAATTTTTTTTCTTCAAGATTTAAGAAATTGTCAATTTTCCAAAGAAAAATTGGGGGGTCACAATTTATTTTGCTAATTCTCTGTATATAGTCTGAAAACAGATTTACTAAGTATTGTGCAACAGCACAGTGTATTGCACAAAAGCAAGAAATCTTCAATTGAATATAATCCAAATCATATAACCAATTTCAAGTTCTTTGACTACATTATTCTGTGTCAGAAACCTATAATGTGTCAAATATTTAATTACAATCCAATTCAAGCTTGAATATTGTGTCCATTTTTGCCCCAACTGTTCAGGGTTGGACCTCTGCGGTCGTATCCAGCTGCGCTAGGCGAAGCAGTTTATTTTTATAATCTGCAAACAGTTCTTTTGGTAAACTTTTTTTAAATTTGAGTTGTTTCTATCTGCCATTGTTTACAAAAGTTGTAATATAACTTGACTTCTCCACTATATAGAGTTTTATAAGGATTCTGTATATGTTATGGGTAACTTCAGAAGATTTAAATATATATTACATGACAATTATAATAATTTCAGCTTCAGGATAAGATCAGGCTCCGTAAGGAAGAGAGAATGCGTCTCAAAAAAGAAGCTGGTATGATTGTATCTGAAGAGGAGAGCAATTCTCGTCCAAGTACAGTTGATTCAAAGGTAAATAATACAAACTGATTATTTGAAAAAAGAAACTGTTAGATTTTCCGGTCATGTTCATTTTTGGACTAATCAAATAGGCTCAGATTTGTTTTCTCAAAAGTACTTTGGATGACCTGCTTGATGTCTTGAGTAATTTCTGTAATTAGATTAGAGATATATTATAATAAATGTTCTTTTAGCATTTTGTTATATCAAATTTATATGCTTGGATTTCAAATGTTTACCTGATGCAAGTTCAAAAGGTGAAAGTTATAAAAAAAAAATACAGAGTATTTCTCATCTAGGCTAATCAAACAAATCATTTATTGTAGGGTCCTCCACTGTTTAACAGAGAGAAAACGGTTGTTAATGTGGATATTACAGAAGATCAGAAGCAAGCTGTATTTAATAAACTTGTACGAGAACAAACAAGTCTTCATGATAAGATAAAACAACAACAGGAGCAACAACAAGAAATGGTGAGTTATTTATAGAGCAAAAAGAAAATTAGTCTTAAAATATAAATCATAATTAGGTGTTGTTTTCTGTGGGTAACTTTGCTACCCAAGGTGTTGTGTCCAGTAGCCATGTTTTGTGTCTAAGATTCTGACACTTTAGACTATATACAGTTAGGAGTTTCGTTTTGCATTTTGGCCCCGGTGAATTTTTCAAATATGAAAGTTATTTTGCAATGAAATTAACTTTTAGATAGCTGAAGAATAATATAGCCTTTAAAGTGGGTTTATATGAACTTCTATATTTTTTTGCATGTTTTATAGGACATTCTCTGTTTGACGGTCTGTATTTTCACATCTGGTACGTCCATAGGTCTAGAAATTATTGCAATGTTTTCCAACAAATTTTTTCAAATCAATTTTAAGGGAAAATGAGGTGAAATGCATATGCTTTTTATTGGATCTCCTGATAGATAAATGTCAAAGGTTTCAGAAAAGGTATCACTCAAATGGATTGAAATTCTACTTTGGACCAAATTTTGGGGACATTTATAACATTTTGACCCCCTTTTTTGCAATATTTTGTATCAAATAAATGCAGATTGTTGCCGTGGTAACATCAAAAAGAGATTATATTTCACCATTTTTACCATTGGAAAAAAAAAAGGTAATTATGAGAATCAATTTGAAGTTTTTTCCTAACTGTGTATTGCTACCTTATCATTTGCACATATTCTCTGTTCACAATTTCAAGGGAAAATCTTGTAACTGAATCTAACAAACAGCTTTGATACTACACATTGTTACGGTACATTACATTTTTCTGTGAAAATAGGCATATTTTCTATAATGATTTATATCTGTTAAAGCCAAACAGAAGAAGGATTTTTTAAAAGTTAGCACAATAGTCTATCATAGAGGCATAGTAATAATATCTGTTTTATTTTTTTGCATCTTCATATCAAATAAAACTAAATCTGAACTTCCGTATTAGGGTTACAATAAAACCAATTCACAGGGTTCACACACTTACAGAAGTGTTATAGAAGAAATGAACTACTGTGTAGGGCCTCAAACTAATTCATCGCCCTCATCTTCTGAGAATACTTACAGCAGATGTATTTCTCCCATGTTTGGGTCTTTTCTTGACTTCTCTCATCCTTGCCTTAAGTGTCAATACAAAAAAATCATCCATCCCACAAAAAATGTCCCATATTTTGAGGTCCAATGGTTCATTTATTCCATCTTTAAATTCAAATGAATGCCATAAATGAAAAAAATGTTGCTGAATTGTATTATGTGAAATGATGATTGATTAACCCCCTTTGAAACTAAATCTGAACTTCCGTATTAGGGTTACAATAAAACCAATTCACAGGGTTCACACACTTACAGAAGTGTTATAGAAGAAATGAACTACTGTGTAGGGCCTCAAACTAATTCATCGCCCTCATCTTCTGAGAATACTTACAGCAGATGTATTTCTCCCATGTTTGGGTCTTTTCTTGACTTCTCTCATCCTTGCCTTAAGTGTGTCAATACAAAAAAATCATCCATCCCACAAAAAATGTCCCATATTTTGAGGTCCAATGGTTCATTTATTCCATCTTTAAATTCAAATGAATGCCATAAATGAAAAAAATGTTGCTGAATTGTATTATGTGAAATGATGATTGATTAACCCCCTTTGAAACTGTGAAAAAAAGTAGGACGTTACAAACCTAAAATGTCACTAACCAGTCATAAGATGGGCCTGCATGGGAATGGTTGATAGGAATATTTATTTTTCAGCAGGTTGCAAATAATGGAAATGTAACAGTAAATTTTTTTGTAAAGTATCCTGGCATGTACCTGTTGATATTACTGCTATAATTATTGTTCAAGTGTTGCTGTAGTCCTTTGCAGAAACAATACAGTCTACTAGTAACTGGTTTTGTTTATCTGTTGCTATAATATTCATGCATTTGATTAATTTTCATTTTCCTCCACTAAAAAACAGGCAATGATGAAAGTTTTTCAATGTGTAAATTATAAACAAAAAAAACAACCAACAAAAGAGTACTGTTAGTATTATTGACAGTGCATTCATTTATATGGTTATATTTTTAGTTGAAAAGAAGATTAGACAAATCCAGAGGAAGAAAGGAAATGCAGGCAAAAGAAATTATGGATATGTCTGAAAGACAGAAGAAAGAATATCACAAAACAAAAACTGTGAGTAAAAAGGCTGTCACTATTAACAGATATTTGATATTGTAATGTTTGGAATAACTTGATCACACAGAAGACAGAACTTGAGAATTGGTTCTAATTTGAATTGTAAATCGAAAGACTTGGTATAACATATTGATTGTGTTCATAAGTCTGTCAAAAGGCACCAAGGGCATTAAGTTTTACTCTTCTTGTCCCTCGCTTGACTCGTTGTGAGGTACATAGAAATACCATGTCTGTCTGTCCATCTGGTCTCGTTAGCGCTCTCACATGTACAATTCTTGCCAGATTTTTACATAACTTATATCATAGATTTAGATTTATATCAGCAATGTCTTAAACAAGTTTGAAAATCAGTGCTGATCAATTAATTTCAAAAGAGTTATGCCCTTTGGAAATATTGATTATATGGAAATTTACATTGTTAGCGCTCTCTCATGTACAATATTTGCCATATTTTAAAAAATTTATATCAAAGGTTTATATCAGCAATGTCTTGGACAATTTCAAAATAAGTGCCAATCAACTATTTTTATACGACCGCAAAATTCGTATATTGGTATGACATTGTTAGCGCTCTCTCATGTACAATATTTGCCATATTTTAAAAAATTTATATCAAAGGTTTATATCAGCAATGTCTTGGACAATTTCAAAATAAGTGCCAATCAACTATTTTTATACGACCGCAAAATTCGTATATTGGTATGACATTGGCGTCGGCGTCATCGTCGTCCGAAGACACATTGGTTTTCGCACTCTAACTTTAGTTTAAGTGAATGGATCTCTATGAAATTTTACCACAAGTATCCATACCACAAAAGGAAGGTGGGGATTGATTTTGGGGGTTATGGTACCAACAGTTAAGGAAAATGGGGCCAAAAATAAGCATTTTTGTAACTTCCAGACATAACTTGTGTGTTAGTGTATGGATCTCTCTGATATTGTACCACAAGGTTCCATATCACAAAGGTAATGCTGGGATTGATTTTGGGGGTAATTGCCTCCAAATTTTAGGAATTAGGGGCAAAAAAGGGGCAAAAAACAAGCATTTTTCTAGTTTCATGACAATAACTTGTGTGTAAGTGTATGGATCTCTCTGACATTAAACCACAAGGTTCCATATCACAAAGGGAATGCTGGGATTGATTTTGGGGGTAATTGCCTCCAAATTTTAGGAATTAGGGACCAAAAAGGGGCAAAAAACAAGCAGTTTTCTAGTTTCCAGACAATGACTTGTGTGTAAGTGTATGGATCTTTATGAAATTGTACTGCAAGGTTCCATATCACAAAGGGAAAGCTGGAATTGAGTTTGGGGGTAATTGCCTAAAACGTTTAGGAATAAGGGGCCAAAAAGGGGCCAAAAATAAGCATTTTTCTAGTTTCCAGACAATTACTTGTGTTTAAGTGTATGGATCTCTCTGAAATTGTACTGCAAGGTACCATACCACAAAGGGAAGGCTGGGATTGATTTATGGGGTAATTGCCTCAAAATTTTAGGAATTAGGGGCCATAAAGGGGCAAAAAAACAAGCATTTTTCTAGTTTCAGGACAATAACTTGTGTGTAAGTGTATGGATCTTTATGAAATTGTACTACAAGGTTCCATATCACAAAGGGAAAGCTGGGTTTGAGTTTGGGGGTAATTGCCTTAAACGTTTAGGAATTTGGGGCCAAAAAACAAGCATTTTTCTAGTTTCCAGACAATAACTTGTGTTCAAGTGTATGGATCTCTCTGAAATTGTACTGCAAGGTACCATACCACAAAGGGAATGCTGGGATTGAGTTTGGGGGTGATGAATCATAAGGGGGTTCAAAAAATTTGGGGGGCGATTTTTTTTTCCTTTTTTTTCTTTTAAATTCTCTATTTTAAATTGGTTATTTCGGATTTATATATAAAAGCAAATAATAATGATATGGTTTTTAATAGGTAAATTAAAATTTTTTAAGTTCTTAGACCACATTCATTCTGTGTCAGAAACCTATGCTGTGTCAAATATTTAAAG